TTCCCTATTGAAATTTGGATATTTTTTAATCTCAATAGCCTCGCGCATCATTCGAGGAACAAACCGCCGCTCAGCTGCAAGGATCTGTGGTCTATCAAATCTAATGTAGTGGTTTGGTCCCCCTAATGCATGTTCACAGTATGGAGTACAAATGGTCATATTCAACTTAAAAAAATCACCATCTTTGATTTGTTTTCCCAAGCTATGGCCTATGTACTACAAAAGTTCATTGTTGCAACTGAGATTCTATCTCGGTACCCTAACAGCTAGGTAGTAGCTGTAACGCTGTATGTAAGGACGTGCCATAGGAAATTAATAAACCTGCACATTAAACCTTAAATATTAAACTTTTCATTTTTTTTCTTTTACATACGACAAGCTGAGGTCTGAGTATCAGAGACGCCCTCTAGTTGTGCCGACCCCCTCAGGTTCAAGTGGTCTAGAGGCTCCAGATGGAGAGGAGACTCCCCCCGTGGGGAGATGCCAACCGCCTGGAATACCTCTAGTGGCACTCGCTAATTCTCGGTTTGAGGTCCGCTTAGGATCTCGCCGTCCCCAAAACCGGTGACGCTGTAAAGGTTAACTGCGACCAACAATACACACTCAAGAAAAAATGGTGATTATCACTCGTATTAATAATACAAATGTTTCCTTGCTTGGGGAAGTAACCTCCACCTTACAGAACACCACAGTAAAATAACACTACCTTTTGAGGTATTGTCTTTCTGTCGGTAAATAAAGGGTCCTTTAAAAGAGACGTGAAGATGTATTTGTGCAGGTTTTCAAGATTGTCATCTTCTATGACTTGTTTGTGATTGATATAGTAAAACGCTATGGCTCGTTACCACAGCTCGTTACGGCTTGCTCGTTAGGGTGTGGGTTGAACTTCGCCTTGACTAGGATTCTCATAGAACTTCCAGAGATTACTGGATCAGAATTAAAGCTTACTACTTACTATCGTTGGAGTGACACGATAAACACTATCATTTCGTTTCTTTTTTAATAAAATTTCATCGCCCAAATATAAGTGCGCGGATCACTTCCGAGCGATTGCAACAAATCGGTTAAGTGTATTTTGCTATGTTCGTTGTTATGAGGATAAAGTTTGTGTGAGAGTTTTAAAGGAAAAATAAATTAGAGACCATCGCGTATTCAGAAAAGTGTGTTACTATTGAAATCTCTTTTTAACTTTTTATAATATATATTGCACTCAAATAAAGCCGGTCGGGTGTTTAGTTTGTTTGCAATACCTACCTAAATTAACTTGTCATTACAGATACTAGGTTTATATAAAGAACATCAATCCTGTATTATTTACCACTCTTTTGAATTACATAACCCACGTTTTCTATAATAAATACCCATTGCTAAATTGAAATGAATTCGTGTAGCGGAACAAACCATACGACATTGTATATCCAATGATAGTCATCGCGTACCGTTTGTGTGTCATTGAGCGTTTGTTTTCACATAAACTTTGAACTTCATCAACATCATCAGTCTATTACAGTCCCCACTGCTAGGGCACAGGGCCACTGCTAGGGCCTTCCCTATGAATGGAATAGGGAGTTTGGGCCATGACACACCACGCGGGCCCAGTGCGGATTGGTAGGTGCTAACGACTGCAGATGCTGTCGGGACCAACGACTTAACGTGCCTTCCGAAGCACAGAGGAGCTAGAGATAGTAAATTTTTGGACACCCATCCAATAACCGACCACTGCGAAAGTAGCTTAACTTGAACGATCGCAGCCGAACGCGCTAGCCACTTGCGCCATCGAAGTCTTCTGCGCTTTAAAAGCTCGATACAATCAGTGCCTTTTCTAAATTCCCTTTGTTTCCCGTGGTCCACCTCGTAGTCCACCCAGGTGGACCACGGGGATTATTTTTTTCCCCCCCGTAGTTCACCTGGTCCAACCACGGGAAATAATTTTAACCCGTGGTCCACCTGATACTTTGCTTACAACCGCAGTTTTATAAAGCAAACTTTGTATTAAGATCTGCATGGAGCATAAGTTCCATCTATTATAAAACAAATGAATATCGCTGACATAAATTGTCACTTTAAACATCTGATTATATATCACGCATTTTCAATGTCTGCATTTATTTGTCCAAGCGGCAAATGAAAGATTAGTTACTTTATAAAAATGTGTAATGAAGAAATCACACTAATATTATAAAGGCGAAAGTTTGTGAGTGTGAGAGTATGTGAGTGTGTATGTTTGTTACTTCTTCACGTCTAAACGGCTGGATCGATTTTAATAAATTTGTTATGGAGTTAGCTGACACCCTAGATTAACACATAGGCTACTTTCATCCCGAAAAAAATATAGGTTCCAGAGGGATTTTCAAGAAACTAAGTTAACGCAGATGAAGTCGCGGGCGACCTCTAGTATAGAGTTATTAATCGAAAAGGGGGGGTGGTACTTTTGTACGGCAATCACCAATATTATAAAGTTATTAAAAAATAATTGGGAGCTGTGTCGATGCGCGAATTATAAAAAAAATAAAGTGTAGCGGAAATATCATAATCAATACGACGGTAAGTAGTATGGATTTTATTCTTGACTGCCATTATAATCTTACTTCTTAAAGTACTGAACCGATAAAGTTTTGTTCCGATATAATTCTGTTTTTAAAGACTAAACAGTAATCTAATTATACGTCACTTATTTTCAGGAAAAAATTCATAGATAAATCAAGGGAACATTCATGTGACCACGGGGGAAAATACCCCGTGGTCCACCTGGGTGGACTACGAGGTGGACCACGGAAAACAAATGCTAAATTCATTTTACCTACTTTGTCACTTTGATTTGAACAAAGAATACTTGATGTCGAATCCTTTTCCGAATGTTTGCGAGTAAGGGTACAGACATTAATTTTGTCATTTTTGCAGACAGGGAAATCTGACCGTAACAAGCGATGCGAAAGTGAATACTTTATGGACATACCTAAGCATTTTTACTTTTTCAGATAAGGAAGAAAATTAGCTTTGGACACATATCAGATTTTTCTTTCAATTTCAGTCCAGCACGAAAACAATTTAAGTATAAGCTAAGGTGACTTAGGTTTTAAAAGTATAGTAATTTTGATGTAAACTGCCATAGGAAGAAATTAAACAGTTTTTCCATTAAAAGAGGGAAGACACATCGGTATCCCGCTCGAATAGGAGTGCCCGTTGGGGGCAGTAGCTTCCCCTTACAGAAGACTGTAACGAAATTGCAATATATTTAAGTTTTATCTTCTTACTGTGAGTTTTAATGATGATGGAGATGGTTTTAGGGTGGATAACGTGCGAGTGATGCTCTCTCTAGTAACACAAGCGTCTTTGGCTTCAGAATCCCTATACCATCAAGAGCTTATATTCTCATGTCCTAATCTTTATATATATAATTCTTCTGTGAGTGTGTATGTCACTGAACTTCTCTTAAACGACTGGACCGATTTTGATGAAATTTTTTGTGTGTGTTCAAGGGGATCTGAGAATGGTTTAGATTCACAATTTTGTCCGCTGGACAACCCCTATTTTTTTAGGACGGTACGAAGTTCGCTGGGTCAGCTAGTATGTCTATATAAAAAAAAGCGTGAATGTCGTGGAACACTCGGTTGGAAAGAAGTTAAAAATACATATTTATATACCTACCACCCGCCAATCGGCACTGGGCTCGTGTGACGAGTCATGGTCCAATCTCCATATTCCACCAAAAAAAAAGTATCCTACTCACCAATTCGCACTGTGAGGATTGGGTCCAGTGCGGATTCAGTCCAGTGCAGATAGGGCCCACTACGGATTGGGCCCACTACGAATTGGGCCCAGTTCGGATTGGACCCATTGCGGATTAGGCCCAGTGTGGACTCATTGCGGATTGGGCCCAGTGACCTCCCCTATCCATCTCGATATCTCCCTATTCCATAAAAAGCAGTATCCTACCCACCAATCCGCGTTATACTTTTTTTCAGTCCTCAGTTTAAGTAGTCATACTTTACTAATTAGGTAGTTCTCTTTGTCCTTTCGAGTCCACCGCTGTTGAGCCTAGCATGGGAAATAAAATGACAGTGTGTAAGTTTTTTTATTATTATTATGTTTTATATTAATGATAACTTATTAAAAATATGAATAAAATCACTAGTTTTTGCTAAGCGTAATAAGACATACAAAATAACAACCGGTACCTTTTTTATTTGTCTTTCTTTATCTTCAATATCAATAAAGGAAAAACTCTGTTAAGTTACTTACAGAATGGGTGGAATATTGAATGTCGAAATGTTTTATTTTTACATATATTTTTGAATTTTAATCGGCTATTTTAGTTCACTATTCCTAGTTTGCCTTATCCAGAATTCAGGTCCAATCCAAGCTATCATTATACTTAGTAATATCTTTTAATTGGTTGGTCTGATATCAAAGTTGTAATCAGATAATTTGGTGTAAATTTTCCATGTTCGGACTCAGAAACTTTATTATGTCTCAAAAGAAAATTCCAAAACATAACAGTTAATTTTTTATGTCTCATAAATTCATTTGTAACTGATAAATGTAGGCACTAAATTCAAATTCGACTCAATTTATTGACTCGTTCTAATTTTTTATTTTATTATGTTTTTTTTAGCTGAAATATATTTACCTACATAATATAAAATGTATATTGTTTTAAACTTTCATGGTCACTAACATGAAAGTTATAAGCGGGTATGCTACCATGTACCTTGTTTTTTGTAAGTCTCCAATTTTTCGGTACTATTACAATTCCGTGATCATGGCGCTTGCATGGAAGCAATCCCGCTAATAACTATATATGCTGAAAAAAAGGCCATAACCCACCAATCCGTACTCCCTAATTCATCCATAGGAAAGGCCTGTGACCCTGCAGTGGGGACTTTAATTAGGCTGATGATGATGAAAAGGGCGTTATCGAATTATGATTACCACAAAAAATTCACAAATAATAGGATTAAAAAAATGATGCCGCTCATAAGTTCTTCTTAATAAAAATGCTTGAATTTTGCTTAAAGCAGTATTTCACGGTGGCTACTTACTTCATTATTGCTGCCAGTCATACGTGTAATGGGCTAAGTTCAATTACCTCGTAAATTGTACTTGTATATAGCATCTGGGTAGTTAGCAAAAATCATAAATTTGTTGTGGTAATAGCTGTGTCTTTAATGAGTTCATTATTATTGATGATTAATGCTATTCCTTTTGTTAATTTTTTATTGTGTCCAAAATAATATTTTTTAAGTTAAATAAGTTAATCAGAATCGATTAGCGGTATTAATTCTAGACTAAGTCTAATCAAGCTTAGTCGCACAAATATTTACAAAGAAACGGTATAAAAATGCAACATTTTTTATTTCAGTGCAAAACGCTGACAGGGTTTCTCTGTACAATATCGTTTTCATAATACACGTTGTGTATCCAGCGAGTATCCCTCACAAGGACGTGAAATTTACCCTGACATCGTTGATGGAATCGGCATTACCAGCCATACATCCGTTAATAGCGGCTGGATCGAATAGATGTAAGTACAAAATCATAATAATACGAGTATATACATGTTTTTGTTCACATTTTGAAGAGCTATGATTATAGAACAAAAAGCAGATAACGCGCACGGTACAAATAAAGTGAGGCTCACAACTTACTATATATGAGCGACAACGCATAATTTTAATAAGCACTATTGTGTGACTATGATCGCACTTTATGTGAGAACTCCGTTGATCGTTGAAGTCGAAGCAAAATCGGAGTGACCATTTAGGCTACTCAGCTCCCGCGAATTTTGAAAAAGTCGTAATGACGAGTACTACCGGCTCGCCGCTTCACCGTATGCGCAGGTGACACGTCTGCTATCGCCCAAGGCTTTGTCAATAATGATGGGAACACGAGAGTGTTGCCATGGTTTCGTGTGCAGCCATAACCCATAAATAGGTTTATTATTAACATAATATGTTTATTTATTTATTATTCAAAATACATTACACCATTATAACAGGTATATACCTAATTCAATAGTGTAGTCGTCCTTTCAAGCTAACCATAAATTCTTATAAAATTACATTAAAAAAAAATTACATTACATTATATTGTTATTTGTCTAAATAACATATTATGTTAATAATAAACCTGTAGATAATAAGTTATTGATGTCCCGTATCCATTAATAAGGCTATATTACTTGTGAATATAATAAGCCAAAAAATGCCCACTTATTAGAATGTAAATCGAAATTTCATAAGTCAGCACTATTTTTTATACTTGATACATAACACGACACTTTTCTTCTCAACACGGGTGTGAGCAGATATTTATTTAATATAATGATTCGCTAGAAGAACCGGGGGGCCATTTGCCTAACGGAAATGCTTTGGAAAACGCTAACGCTTACGATTTCATTTTGTTATTTCTAGCCGCCTGAGGTTTTCGAATGCCTCGCGCTCTTTTTTTTTTCTTTTGCATTGGTAATAACAATATTAAAAAAAAATAGCGTGAGGTATTTGAAAACCTTCGGCGGTCAGAAATAACAAAATAAAATCGAAAGCGTAGCGTTTTCCAAAGCATTTCCGTTAGGCGAATGGCCCCCTGGCCGTCCCAGGCACCGGGCGTGGATTGAACCAGCCTCATCGCCGTTAATTTCAGATTTGTAGTACAATTAAACAGTATAGCCTTGTTCAAGAACTAGTGTTTACGTATATAAAATTCTTACAGTTCTACTATTTTGTTGATATTAGACAACGAAACAGACGCATTGTAAAATATCATCCTCGTGTATTTAAGGAATTTTTAGTTCCCAATTATCGCTTCAAGTCTTAGAAAGAGTTTTCTAAAACACGCAGCTTTTCTTGGCTAATAAAAGCCATGAATGGGTCCTTCTTATCTTCCTATTTACACAGATATGAGAATTCACTCAAGTAAAGTAAAATAAGTATGGTTTACTTTAATATGAACTTGATCACATTAGTTTTTTTAACACCACTCAAATCAATTTTCTGAAAGTTCCAATGTATATGTCGTGGCCATATCGTAGATTTGCTCACTTCATGAAATGCTCGAGAATTTCATGAAATGGTCACATTTAATGATGTGGGCAACTTAATTTGACCAGATCATTAAATCGTCAACATTTAACGATTTCGTCATCCACATTTGGCCGGATCGTATAATTAGGGTGTCCATAAAATATTTATTAAAAATCCAGAATATGTAAGAACTTGTTTATTGTTATTTAAGTCCAAATGACACAAACAAATTTAATCAAAAAAAAAACTCTATTAAAAGATACCTTTTCTACAAAAGAAATTCAAGTATCACCTCTTGCGCCCTGGAAGTACAGTTTTACAGTATATCTTTGTACGGCATTGATTCTCATCCGCACTTTGTACCTCAACCGCAGTTTCCAAAATGTCATATTTTGATAGCCATTAATATTCCTTAGATTTCTTTTGTGTAGTCGCCCTGCTCTCCTTAATTTGTTTCGTCGAAAACCCTTTTGTTATCACTTTCTTCCTCATTAAATAACGAATTATGCACTTTTTCACTGCGAGAAACAACATTGTCGGCAGGGGCCGCCATATACATATATAAACAAGCGCTTGCAGCGCCTCTACCGGTAATTAATGTAACTACTTTACAATATGATCAAATAATTTTTGCCATTACATGAAGTAGCCACGCGTTTAGTTGGCCATATCGTGAAACGATTTCTCATCATTGATCTGCCCAAACCACGTCATGATGTGGCCAATAGATAGTGAAACATTTTATGAAATGCGACCATTTCATTAAATTCTCGAGCATTTCATGAAGTGGGCAAATCTACGATATGGCCATGACATATACACAGCAGAAATATATACACAGCAAGGTCAATAAAATTACCATTGCAATCAGAACCAATCGCATAGAACAATTCGATGCATAGGAAACAAGGCCTGAGCTTACTGGGCACTATTTATATCAGGAAGTAAGTACCACCAGACAGATGTCCGATTGCTCCCCAATCAAAATGGTCTAAGTTGAGGAGAGTGGATGATGCATGAGCCATTTTGTAATTTTTATGGAATACTAATTAATAATACATTTTTTAGTGTAATATTTTTTTAGTGTAGCTCCCCTATCGTGCGGGATATAGTTGAATAGGTCCTTTAAAATTACTTAGGGGTTCGTAAGACTATTTTTCGATTTAGGGATCCGTTTGCAAAATATTGAACTTTAAAGTACTAATTTTTGTTCAAGTAGGTCCCCCCCTTCGAAAGCTAAGCTATTGGCTAGAAAAACCTGAAAAAAAAAACATGACTAATAGTGCTTTTCATGAACTTTTAAGGAAATTTATAACTAACGGTTAATAATAGTCGTTCAACTTTGGTTAAAGAAAATTTCTTACCTATTGAAAATTCCTTAGAAGAAAATATCAATATTGCCATAGATGAAGTTATTGTAGCGTAAAACCTTAAATTGAAAAATATAATCTAAAAAAACAATGTAAAAATTGTTTTTTACTATTTCTAATACAGAAAATAAGACTCCCGTTCAAATATATTGTGGTAACGACAGGCAACTACGGAACCCTACACTGCGCGTGGCACGACATGCACTTGGCCGGTTTTTCATACAAACTTTCATCCTATTTTAACCCCTTCGGGAATGAATTTTGTAAAAATCCTTTCTTAGTGCACCCCTAGACCTCATAAGGAGCCTACGTGCCAAATTTGGAATCTCTAGACCCAGCGGTTTGGGCTGTGTTGATATGTCAGTCAGTCAGTTTCTTCTTTTATATATATATATATATATATATATATATAGATATAAAGATATTATTAACTCTTATTTTTTTACGTAGGTAGCCTTTTACTGAAAATCAGTGGCAGTGTTACAATGCCTCTGCACATATTTTAGTTGTATGTTTAAGTACTTGTTCCCTGGCCCTTCTTTTTTAATCGCACATCGGCCAAATCTTGCCTGATGCTGGTCCTGATAATCTATATAGCTATGCATGTACACTGCTAATTTTGTATTTATTATATACCGCAGTTAAGTTATAGCTCGAGAATGGAGGATATTCTATTTTCATATTTTAGAGGTTAGGAATAGCAATTTATAAGCCTAGATTTTAAATATCGTTTTTTTTATCAAAAAAGTGTTTGAATACTCCAGTTTGATGAAAAGATTTTTAATCTCTGAAGAGAATAATAGGGTCGCCATAAAACTTGAACATCCAATCAAAATGTGATATAAGTTTTTATTGACATAAATCTTAATCGATCTAATAATAACTATATTATCCTTTTGAAATTCTATTTCTTTTGACTTGTAAGTAGTTCTCAAACTAAAAGCGCAAAAAATCAAAGATAAGCTGCTACAGAAAACTTAATAAGTAGGTATGACATCTGTCATTCGATTTAAGTAGGTAGTGGCGTTCCTTTTTCTAGTAAATTGGAGGACTCTTCCCTGGAAAGAAATACAAGCTTATTTTTCTGGGCAGCTTCAACGTTATAAATATTGCTTAAATGAGGAAAACTAACATAAATCTAGTTTATTTTTTGAGAAGTGCAAGATTTTGATTTTCCCTTTCACATTACATATTGTACTTAATTACTAAATAATTAAATTCTCTAACCTTAAATTTTTGAGACACTTTCATATAATATTTATATTTTCTTAATTGACTAATGTCAAGCCAACATATTTTTATATATGACAAATTTCTGTACGTGGCCCTTTGTTTTCTTTATTGCTTGGCCATTTATTCATTTACGTGGGCGTGGCCTTTTGTCTTTTTTATTGTTTGGCTATTTATTCACCTGCGTGGGCGTGGCCTTTTGACTTTTTTATTGCTTGGCCATGTATTCATCTACGTGGGCGTGGCCCTTAATTTTTAATTTATTGCGTGGCCATTTAGCGAATCTTTATTGTAACCAGAGTTCTATGATAACTATCATCACCATACGTTTAATAGTATTTCTCCCAGGATATAATAAAAATGACGTATCAAATGTTATTTTTATAATTACTCATACTAACAGTTATTTTTTTACCTCTTTTAAATTGAGAAAAACTGGTAATCAAAGCACTGTTTTAATTTCATTCTAAAAACATGGTATCTTTTGTTTTGTTATGCCATTGGCATCATGGCTTAAACTAATTGACTTTATATCGTGTAATGTGTTATCGTGTAATTAGTGACATGTTTTGTTTTGTTTATTATCCGTTTCCATTAGGACACTAATAAAGTATATTTTTTTACACCAACGTTTTAGGATTACTAAGTGAACTTAAAAGTTATTCAGATTTGATATATATTTTGATATTCATTATTAGTGTCTAATTTAGACTATTATTATCCAAACGATATATTAACATTTTCTTTAGGGCAACTGAATTGAAACCCACAACAAAATTTGTCAAATTGTTTGTTATATATATATCTACCTGATACTTATCAGATATTTTCGAACCTTAACGGTAAATATTTTTCTGTCAATATAAATTGTATAAGGTATGCAAATAGATTAGTACTATTAG